TATATATATATATATATATATATATTGAATTTATATATATTTATATATATATTGAAATATATATATATATATTGAAATTTATATATATATATAAATTGAAAAACATGTGCAAGGCCCTGAGTTTAATCCCCAGCACAGGAGTCAGGGGAACAAATCAAACAAGCAAACCCCTAAAACTTTAGTTTTATCATTGTTTTGTGTATATAAGTGTTTTTCCTTCGTTCGTGTATGTATACCATGCATATGCCTGGTGCCCACAGAGGTCAGAAGGGCCTGTAGGGTACCCTGGAACCTAGTTTAGGATGATTGTGAGTTCCTGTGTGGGTACTGGGAACTGAACCCAGGTCTTCTGCCAGAGCAGCAAGTGATCTTAAGCCCGGAGCCACCTCTCCAGCCCTTAAGGATAAGGTAAGGGTGCATTTGTTGTGCGAACATGAGGACCTGAGTTTGGGTCCTGCACCCACATAAGAAGGCAGTCACCCATCCTGCCTATTACCCCAGTGTGGGGCAGAGACAGTCACCTACCCTGCCTATTACCCCAGTGTGGGGCAGAGACAGTCACCCACCCTGCCTATTACCCCAGTGTGGGGCAGAGACAGGAGGATCTCTGGGGCTTGTTGGCCACCAGCCTAGTCCCAGGTTTAGTAACAGACTCAGTTTCACAGTGATAAAGTGGAAAGTAATAGAGCAGGATGCCTGAGGTCCTCCTCTGGTCTCTGTACACACACATACACACACACACACACACACACACACACACACACACACACACCCTTAAAATTCTCTTAATTAAAAAAAAAAAGCCCACATAGGCCAAAGCATTAGGAAATAGAATACAAATCTTCAAGGTTATTCTTAGAACTGATCTTGTTCCAGAAAAACTTGCCGGTGGTATTGTTAGACCACCAGGGTTGTAAAGACAGAGACCACCATTCCAACCGAAGTGTCTGACGAGGCAACTTTACTCTTGATCAAGAGGGTGTGCCCAGGGAGAGCGAACACCGAGACAGGAAGTGCAATCGGTTTTTATTCTAAGGGGGCAGCTATGTCTTTTCCCTGTTGGCTGGGGTCTGGCCTCACAGTCTCACTCAGCTGGCTAGTCTGAAAAGAACTGATGCACAGGAAATGGGGGAAAGGGAAAGGAGTCACTTTGAGTAAGCTAAGGCTTTACCAGGTGGGGAGCATCAAAACATTTGCAAGTATTGCAAGGTGGGAAAGACAAAAAGATCTTAATTCCTTGTCCTAAATACAAGTTTTACAGTACTTTGTAGAAAAGACTCAGATTTGCTATTTCTTACAGTTGAGACCGGAAAACCGCACCAAACTGTGGGAGTCTGAATGTGATTGGCCCCCATAATCTCACAGGGAGTGGAACTATTTGGAGGTGCGGGTTTGTTGAAGTGGATATGGCCTTATTGGAGGAAATGTGTCACTGTAGGGGCGGGCTTTGAGTTTCCTATGCTCAGGGTATCACCCAGTGTCTCAGTTGACTTCCTGTTGCCTGCAAGATGTAGGACTTGGCTACTTCTCCCACACCATATCTGCCTGTACACCACCATGCTTCCTGCTGTGATGATAATGGACTGAACCTCTGAAAATGTAAGCCAGCCAACCCAATTAAATGTTTTTTTTTTTTTATAAGAGTTGCCTTGGTCATGGTGTCTCTTCACAGCAATGGAAACCCTGACTAAGATAGACGTTGGTACTTCTATCTTAGTGGGGTATTGTGATGGGCCTGATCATGGTTTTGTTTGGAGGAATTTGGACTTTGGATTAGGAAAGCAGTGGAATGCTTTAAGTGCTGCTTAATGAGCCATACTAGTAGGAGCATGGAAGACAGTGGTGCTGAGTGTGATTTGATGAACTGGGGGGGGGGGGGGAGGGCTTTCTCAAGAGGTTACAGAGGAGAAGACTTTTAGCATGTTGCCTAGAGACTGTTCTTGTGATATTTTGGTGAAGAAAGTGGCTGCCTTTTGCCCTTGTCTGAAGAGTCTGCTGAGGCTAAAGTGAAAGGTTTGGGATTAATTCCACTGGCAGAGGAAATCTCAAAACAGCCTAGTGTAGACTCTGTCCTGTGGTTACTAGTGGTCACTCTAATGAAGATTCCTAATGAAAAGGAGCAAGCTGAACAGGGTAAATTACAAAATGCAAAGTGTGAGGAGAGAAAGACCACCGGGAAGTGGAATGGAGCTACGTTCTGTGAGCTTGGGTTCCGGTTCAACAGTTCACGGTTAGTGAGAGAGCTGGGCTCTAAGTTCGTTTTCCTCGTGGAGCCCTGAGGAAGCAACCTGATGTCACGTCAGCACCAACCTGTTAGGGACATAGTGTCGGGAGACCAGCTTGGGCTGAGCAAGGTCCTCAAGTCTCTTGGACAGCTGAGCCTTCAAAGCAGTCTCAGAGATAGGGCGGATAGGATCTTGATTTCCCCAAAACAATCTTCTGTCAATGAAGTAGAAAAGTAAAGCATGGTTTTAAATGAAATCCTGCTGATAAACACCTCAAAGGTGGCTCAACATCTATACGGACGTTTTATAATTGTGTTTTACATCTTCGTTATGTGTGCGGACACACATGCCATGGTGTGCGTGTGAAAGTGAGGGCAGTTGCAGGACTGGCCGCGTCCTTCCACCGTGTGGGTCCCTGGGATCAGACTCAGGTCGTCAGGCTTGGCGGCAAGGGCCCTCACCTGCTGGGCCGTCTCACCATCCTCGTCTCTCACGGGATTTTACGAGTTCCAGACACCAGGAAGAAATAAGCTATGGACATTAAAACAGAATTGCCTTGACTACTGCATTTAGGAACAAATGGTCACCTTGGGCCAGTGAGATGGCTCTGCTGGTAAAGAGGCGCCTGCCGCACAAGCCTGACAACCTGAGTTCGAACCCCAGATCCCACAGTGAAAGGAGAGAACTGATTCCCAAGGGTAGTCCTTCAACACACACACACACACACACACACACACACACACACACACACACACGAGAGAGAGAGAGAGAGAGAGAGAGAGAGAGAGAGAGAGAGAGAGAGATTGAGATTATAATAATGATAAAATTAATGGCGACTTAAAATGAAGAAGCCTATTAGAGATAAGATAGTTCAGTTTTGAGATCATGGAGTTAGCTGTGGCATCTGTAGTCAAGTTGGCATAAAGCAGACAAGCCAAAGTCTACATGGTGATCCCTCTTTGGGTGACCCCCTGTACCAGGTGGTCATACAATAAAATGGTTAACAGAATAATGTCAGCCACAACCATTTGTGGACCAGCTCCTCTGTGCCAGGCACCACGACAAGTGACTTAAAGACGTCATGGCATTTAGTCCCAATAGCCCCGTGAACCAGGTAAGCCTGCTGTGCCAGGCTGAGGGAGAAAGGAGAGATCAGCGTAGGGTTCCCTGAGAAGGCCCCACAGGAGGAGGTGAAAGGTACAGAGCCCTGGAATTGAAGCCCGCAGCCTGCTGAGGTAGGATGGGGAATGGGAACAATCGCTTCCTGAACTAGGCAGGTTTGGGTCAGAGCAGAAGAGGCTGCTGGGAGAAGAGGGCAGTAGGATCGGGGACTTCAAGATCATCCTTCCAGGGTACAGACCCCTGGAATTCAGAGCCAGTCTAGGACACTTGAAACCCTGTCTCAAAAGAGTAAGAGAAAATCCAAGTGGTGTTGGGTTTGGCAATTAGGCTGCAGATACCAGAATTTACAACAGAAAAAAAAAAAGATAAGCTGAATTGAATTGAAATCAAAGCATTTGCTCTGTGAAGACACCGCTAAGAAGACACAAAGACAGACTCGGACTGGAAGACAGTGTTGACCTGATAAAGCCCTAGTTCCCAGAAAACACCACAAACACTTGAGATTAACAAACAGTAAGAAGACAAGAGTCCGATTACAACGTGTCAAGAGGTCTAACCGGATTACCTCACCAGAGGAGACACGCACAGAAGGCTGTAAAGCATGTGCAGATCCTGCCTAAGGGATCTGCACACTAACAGTGAGCTATGCCTATGAGAATGGCTAAAACCTAAAGCACCGGTAACTCCAAAAGCTGCCAGGGACATGAGCGACAACAGGGTCTCTCATCCATGGGAAATGAGAACAGAAAATGATCCAGACACACTGGGACAGAGTCCTAGGGTCCCTTACAATGTTAGATATACACTCGCCGACTGATTCAGCAGCTGTTCTAGAATCCCAGACATCCACCCAACTGTGGTTGAAAGACACCAAAACCTGTACATAAATTGTATAACAGCTTTGTTGGTAATTGCCACGTATCAGCAACAACCCTTCATATGGGTGCGTGGATAAACCGAGGTTTCCATACAACGGAGTATTAGTGGGTCCCAGGGAATGTGTTAAAAGGAAATAAGATATCAAAACATGAACATAAATGGAGAAGCCCAGAGAGCCTATTTCCAAGTGAAATGAGCCTCTCTGGAGTCTTGCTGCACGATTCCAACTCTATCCCGGCCCAGAAAAGGCAAAACATTAGAAGCGGTAAACAAAGCGGGGTTGCCAGGGGTTCTGGGGGTGCTAGGGAGGAAGCTAATGAAGGACAAAGAGGAGTTTAAGGCAGTGAACTACTCTGTACTCCATTTTGCATTTGTCAAACCCCACAGAACCACAGGACATGGAAAGAACCCTAGGAAGGCATGGAGGCTGGCTCCTCTGCTGTAACAATACCACACTAAATCAGACAACGGACAGAGAGGAGGCTGGAGGAGAGGAGGGCTGTACGACATTTTGTCTGTGTTCTGACAAATGAAGCTTGCCTGGAGATCAGAGGGCAGAGCTAGCCATGAGTTAACCATAGAGGCCAGGTAGTGGTGGCACACACCTTCAATCCCAGCACTTGGGAGGAGGAAGCAGGGAGATCAGGAGTTCAAGGCCGCCCTGAGAGATTGACTCAGTCTAAAAGAGAAACAGAGCCAGGCGGTGGTGGCTCACACCTTTAATCCCAGCACTAGGGAGGCAGAGGCAGGAATATACGGCGGGTAGACAGGATCTCGGCCCACTCAGTCTGAGAATTTGTAGAGTCAGGATCTTCCCATTTCGGTCTGAGGTAAGAACTCCAGTGGCTGGCTGCTCTGCTTCTCTGATCTTTCAGCTTTCACCCTCAATATCTGACTGACTCTGGATGAAGACTAATTAGGATCGCACTTCAGAGGAGTAACCATGCTCAATTGTTCTGAACATCTAAAACTTCTCTAAAAACAACCAGGCTTTACTCAGGAGCCAAAGAAGAAGAAGAGGAGACATCCTACAGTATGAAAGACTGAGGTCTGGGCTGCTGGAGACCCACAGAACAGAAAGGTCCTGGGCAAAGGCTCAAAGGCTGATTGATGGACAGTATGCCAAGAGGCTGCAAAGGTGAACTTGCAGGATGGACCCAAGAGCTTCAAGAATGTGGAGTCACGCCTGGGGCAGCGCTTCTCAAAACTTTATTAGAAGCATCTGGGGAGCTTCTAAACAATCCTGAAGCTGCACCCCTAAACTAATTAAATCATATTTCTGGGTATGGGATTCAGCCTTTGATCAGTAGCAAAGCTCTCTATATGATCCTAATGTGCAGACAAATTTTGGAACCACCGACCAAGAGTTAACCTTCCATGTGTTCAGTCCCCTGAGGTAACATGGTTGGCAAAGTGAAGCCAGGTAAGTAGAGACAGCAGCTACACCTGAGATGCGGATGTAACTATCAGCCACGAAGAACACTTATATGTAGTTGATGTAGCAAACACAGTCATTGCAAACAAGACCATATAATATTGCCTTACCTATCTGGAGTTCCCCATTGCTTTTTCGGTCTGGAAAGATCTTCAATTCGCTTTCTAGAAAAAAAACTAACAAATACCAGCTAGTTAATTCAGAGCCTGCTTGGAAATACATTTACAACAGACGACTCCCATCAAAGAGATTCTGTCTCGGGAGGGGCAAGTGGGACTGCATATTTGGGGTGACTTAGACTGCTGAGGGAGGGTCTGAAGAGATGACTCAGTGGAGTGGCTAAGAGCGTGTCCTGCTCTTGCTGGGTACCCGAGGTCAGTTACCAGCACCTAGGTTGGGTGGTTCACTACTGCCTGTAACTCCAGTTTCAGGAAACCCAGCTCCAGGGAACCTGAACCTCCAAGGGCACCTGTGTTCAAACGTACATGCCGACTCATACACACAATGATAAAAACAAACTTCTGGTTCCGTTCTCCCATCCTCATCCCGGCCACCAGATGCACTGGTCTCCACGTCCCCGGCCTCCGCACATCACCTCTACCTGTTCCCCACCCAGTAGCCACAGTGAGTGTTCTAATCCATACACAGAACTCATGCGCTCTTTGCTGGACGTGACTTGGCGGTTGCGCTCATGGACTCACTGTAGCTATGGTGACTTGAAATGCACAAGGTCAAAGCCATCAAGATCACCCTGCATCCCAGCAGGCAACCCTGATTGGAGTTGGTGTTTCTTAAAGAAAAAATTTAAGGAGGAGGCTGGGAAGGTGGGAGGTTAGAGGGGAGTAGGTGGAGAAGTTGATGGTGGATATGATCAGCATGGTGGACCACACTTTTAACCCCAGCACTGCAAAGGCTGAGGCAGGCAGATCTGGTGTACATACATGGAGTTTCAGGCCAGCCAGGGCTCTATTGTATAAAAAGGAGAAAAAAGAATAAAGGATAATTTTTTTAAAAAATTGTTCTGAGAGATCCAGAATTGATCAAATATTGAGATACTATAGACTAAAAAGTCTTACAGTTATGATGGTGGTGGCGCTCGCCTTTAATCCCAGGGCTCGGGAGGCAGAGGCAGGCGGATCTCTGAGTTCCAGGACAGCCTGGTCTACAGAGCGAGTTCCAGAACAGCCAGGGGTACACATAGAAAAAAAAAAAAAAAAACACAAAACAGTTTTAATTTTAGAAATATTAAAATAATTATATCTGATATAATATATACCACGTATTATATATACATGACAAAGGAAAGAGCCCACTGGCTCCAGGAACGCCTTGGTAAAATGGTACTCGATAACAAAAAAAGGAACACCACTGGTGTGTCAGGTTGTAGGTGACTTGGTGACGCTGGAATGTGAAGGGACTGTACGCGCAGATTTCAGACAAGATGCCTATCTTTGACAAAACTATGAATCTGCTCCCTTGTACCTTCCCTGAGTCCTTGCACCTCCAGTCCCACCGTGGCAGAACTATCATGCTGTCCACCGTCTGTGGGCTTCTCTATGTTTCCCAGCCTTCTTTGCGGCTGTAAGCATGGAAGGACGTAGTCGTGTCTAGAGTGCTAGGTGTCACTTCCAGGGCAATGCGTTGGAGAGTCTCTGGGGCTCCTCTATCTCTCTCGCCCAGGTGCATGACCCTGGGGGCCACACAGTCTACTCAGCAGAGCTACAAGGTGGAGAAAGACTAGCTAGCCCACACTGGACATGAGGGAGGGGTGGGCTTTTCTTAGGTTAAGTCATTCGAGGCTTACACTTTGCTTGTCACGGTGCGTGCAGATTAGTATATACCCTGTTTCGTAGCTCGTGTTCTAATTTACTACTGTTCGAAGGGCCTAATAATAATCAACATTTTTGTCTATCACTGTTAGCAAATGAAAATAAATGAAGGAAATGGACAAATAGAGTAAAAAAATACTATTCACAGAGAATTAGCACATGTCAGCGATTACTCCCCCAATTTCAATAAATAAGCCAGTTAAAGTGTATTCTCTGAGAAGGTGTGGTTAGTATTGTGTTGCGTGCACTATATTTCCATAGCTACACCTCAGACAGCCTAGCCTATCCTCAAATTCTATATACAGCCAAGGATGACCTTGAACTTCTGATCCTCCTGCCTCCTCCCACAAGCTGGGGTTACAGGATTGTGCCACCATGCCCAGCTCCCTGTCGTGGATCTCAACATGGTCTCCCTGTCTTTCTTGAGAACAGCATTACCTCACAGGGTTTTGTCTCACACACACACACACACACACACACACACACACACACACACACACACCCGTGTAGAAATAAAGAAGTACAAAAGGTTGTAATTTGTGAAAGGCGGGTGGGGGGGGGGACCACCAAAAAACCTGAGGCCAGGGAGACAGCTCACAGATAAACACCGCAGCTCCACAAGCCTGAGGACCTGGGTTTCCCCAGGACTCACATAAAAAGCAGGAGGCTGTGACACACATTATTCCCTCCCTACCCCAAAGTGAAATGGAAGGCAGAGAGAGTAGAATCTCCTTGGAGCTCGAGGACCAGCTAGCCTGTGATACCATCAGCATCTTAAACAAGAAAGTGGAAAGTGAGAACCACGCCTGAAAGCTGTCCTCTGACCTCCACGTTCATGCAGAGGCAAGAATACACCACACCTCCCTCCCTCTCCACTCCTCCACCCCCCACCTCCATGATCTGAAAGAGGCTCCCAATACCATCCATCCCCTTTGGTTCACCAGTGCCAAAGACAGTTTTTAAATCCTTACTTTGGGCACACAGCCATAGGTGTATTCTGGTCTGTGCTAATGGGACTCCTGTGGAATCCTTCAGGGAACATGCTCTTCTACATCTCACTATCTGGTTCAACTTCTGTCTTAGTTAGGGTTTCTGTTGCTGTGAAGAGGCACCATGACCACAGCAACTCTTATAAAGGAAAAACATTTCATTGGGGTGGTGTACATTTTCAGAGGTTTGATCCATTTTCATCATGGTGGAGAGCATGGCAGCGTGCAGGCAGACATGGTGCTGGCTACATCTTGATATGCAGGCAACAGGAAGTGGACTGTGACATTGGGAGTAGCTTGAGCATAGGAGACCTCAAAGCAGTGACACACTTCCTCCAACAAGGCCACACCTGCTCCACACCTCCTGATAGTGCCACTCCCTTTGGGGGCCACCTTCTTTCAAACCACCACATATTCAGAAAAAAAAATATTTTTTCTTTCATAGCTAACTAGGTACAATGAATTTGAAGAAGTAAACACATGTTTAGGGGTTTCATGGGCAGCTAATGGGGATGATATAATGTTCTTACATAAGGAGGCCCCAATTAACCAAACAAACAAAACCAAGTAACAATAATAAATAACAAGAAATTGTAACTAATCCTTACAATTATTTTTGAACTATAAAAACAAAGTAGATACAGAGAGCTGGAGAGAAAGCTGAGCAGCTGAGAGCATTTGTTGCTCTTACAGAGGACCCAGGTTCGGTTCCCAGCACCCATACTGAGTTTCACATATGGGTAACTCCGGGGTATCTGATGCTCTCTTCTGGCCTCCATAGAGATGCACATGATTCACACGCACGCACGCACACACGTACGCACGCACACACGCAAACACTCACACACATAAAGCAACGACAAATAAATGTTATCAACAAACAAACAAAAAACCAAAGTGGGTACACATTATTTCCATTGCCCGTTCAGCCACAGAGAAGTGTGCTCACGCTCAGCAGGTACACTTTATTTGGAGCAATGTGCATTTCTTGAGACAGGGCCTCGCTATACAGATAAAGCTGCCTCAAACTCAAGACCTCCCAGCTCTCAGCTCCCAAGTGATGGGATTCCAGGCAAGAACCATGACTTGATTTGGTGCAGACTTTGGAATGAAAACCTAGCAATACTCATCAAATACTACTTCTACCAGCCCTAACGCTCAAGTCCCACACGACCATGGGAAGCAACGGAATGCACGCTTTCTGGATTTCATTTGCTCTCAGTGAGTTCTCCTCCACAGAGCCACCTAGTGCCCATTTTCAGTTTCTTGTGAGAAAAATATTTTGTAAACTGCAAAGCATCGCACACAAATAAGGTGGGAATGTTTACTATCTAAAAAAGGAGGGGAAAAAAAAAACAAGGACAGCAGATAGAAAATCTAAAATAAGTCTAAATAATAAGCATAAATGTAAATGGGTTGTGATTAAAAATAAATATGAAAGGTTTTAACCCACTTTAAAAAAAAAAACAAGACGGCAATGTGTTATTATTTACTTATCCACATGAACTGCAGCTGTAGGTCCTTGGTGTTTCTCTTTACTGTTCAATTTTGGCCTCTTCTAAAGTACATCTCAGTCAAAGCAGGAGTTAGCATCTGTTTTCATCTGCTTTGGTGTTTACATCCGCACCTTTTCCCATTTGTACAGAAGGCGTTTGCTTATTTCATGAGCTGCTGTACCTTAGTTAGAAGCAAGGAGACTGATAGATTCACCTGGAGCTTCAGGCAGTCTCCGATACGAGATTGTCAGCGCAGACTCCTGTGACCCCGGAAAGTGCGGGTCTAGTACGAAGTGTGCCAACCACGACTATCCCAGGTACTTCGTGCTGTGTCTTTCCTCTTCCCTCCTTACTCTTTTATTGTTTTTGTTGTTGTTGTTGTTTTTGGTTTTTCGAGACAGGGTTTCTGTGTGTGGTTTTGCGCCTTTCCTGGAACTTGCTTTGGAGACCAGGCTGGCCTTGCACTCACAGAGATCCGCCTGCCTCTGCCTCCGGAGTGCTGGGATTAAAGGCATGCGCCACCACCGCCTGGCCTGTTTTATTATTTTTAAAGTTTTATGCGTATGAGTGTTTCGCCTGCTTGTATGTCTATGTACTGTGTGCATTGTAGTGACTGCAGAAGCGGAAAGGGGTGTTGGATTCTTTGGAACTGGAGTTACAGATGATTGTGAGCTGCCATGTGGGTGCTGGAATTGAACCTGGGTCCTCATGGAAGAGCAGCCAATGCCCTTAAGCAGTGAGCCATCTCTCCAGCCCCTTTCTTAATTAAGTGTGTGCTTATTTATTTCGGTGGTGGTTTGGTTTTAAGCAAACCCTCTACTGTTAATCTCCATCCCCGGCTCCCCTTCTTTCTTCTTCCCACAGAAACTGATTCTAAAAGGGTCTTTCACAAAGGGAAGCATGGAGACTCCTCAGAAGCCCCGGGACAGGCTTTCTCTCAAGTTCTCCAGGAGTCTAGCCCCTAGCTCTGCTGATCGCCATTTCAGGGGTGAGAACGGTATTATTCTCAGTCTTACCATTTCCTTATACGGTCACGAGAAACAGGGTGTTCTAAAAGAAAATAAAAGCAAAAATTAGAGTCCACAGGAATTAAAGATCTCAGGATAACATCACAAATCAAAAGAGATCACAAAAGTAACTATTTGGGCAATAATATTGAAGTTAAATCTATCATGCCATGTACTAAAACAAACCACACACAAATCAAGACGTTCACGTTTTTTGAAACTGGACTGGAAAAAAAATAGAACATTTAATCACCAGATTTTAATCTTCTAGGATTAAAGCTAGCCAAAAAGATTAAAACATTTAGAACTTAAAACTTCTGTGTGTCCAAAAGAATATTATTCAGCTATAAAGAAAAATAAAATCATAATATTTGCAGGAAAATAAATGAAACAAGAATTGTATTAAACAAAGCAACCTACACTCAGAACGACGAAGACCACATTTTCTCTCATACGCCTATACTAAATTTTAATTTTTATATGTGTGTGGCTGTGGGATATGCCACAAAGCCACAAAGGGGACCACGAGAAGGGGGAAAGAGGTCTTAAGAAATGGATAAAGAAGGTAATAGACGATATGTAACCTGAAAGTGGATTTGGGGAGAAGGGAGAATGGGGGAGAAAGATCAACAAAAATAATGTATAAAAATGCAATAATGCAACCTATATTTTATATGCTAACTTCCAAAAATTTAACTCTGCGTATGAAAAATTTAAATCTATAGAAGAAACAAAATAAGTATCAGACAGCAAATGGGATTAATGCTTAATAGTGTTAATATTTGAAAACTACCAAAGTACAAACAGAAAAAAATACTAAACTATGTGACAAGAATAAAAGAAGCTAAGAGTATGAGTTAAATTCAAATATGAAAATCCATGAAACACCAAAAGCACTTAAAAAATCAACTTTACTTATTTTTTATTTATCAACCTTTCTTATAATCAAAACAATGCAAATAAAGACTGAGACTTTTTTTTTAAGCTATCAAATTAGCAATGTTTTTCACAAAGGATAAAGTGCTAGAAGGTGAATGGCGTGCACATCCTGTGCACAGCTAACAAATGTTTAAGTTAGCACACTAGAAAGAGTAAGTTGGGACTGTGAGTCAGCAAGGTTTTGACATTGTAATCCAATTCTGTTTCTAGAAATGTACCCTGAGGAAATTGTTTCAAATGTGGGCCAAGATGTATGCATAAAAAATGTTCAGTGAGGTGTCTTTGACAGGAAGAAACTGGTAAATCTGAGGTATCTATATCAGGAGATATGATTAAGCAAATGAAAATGCATGCATAGAAATGCATGGTTTTGGTAGAAAAAAATGTGGTCCATTATATAAGGTCACCATATCTGGAGACCTGTCAAAATAGACATCATAATGACAGACTGTTCCAGACAGAGTCACTTCATGGGAGTTTTTAATCACATGTGAAGGCTCTGAAAGAGCACATTCTCCACTTGGAAGTGTTTTCTGGAAAGGAGAGCAGTACCAGGGAGAGACAGATTAAACTCCATCTTTGTTACTTTATCAACTACATGATCTTGGGCAATGGGATTAGGTTCTGTGAGATTCAGTTTCTCTCTTTCAGATTGGAGGATAATAGATCTGCGTAAAAATCAAAGATAGACAATTAGATAGATAGATGATAGATAGATAGATAGATAGATGATTGATAGATGATAGATAGATAGATAGATAGATAGATAGATAGATAGATAGAAAGAAAGAAAGAGACAGACATAGATAGATAGATGATAGATAGGTAGGTAGATAGAAACAGACAGACAGATGGATGATAGATAATAATAGATAAGTCACCTGTGTGTGTACATGCATGTAAAGCACCTTGCATATATGAATGGTAGTTGGAATTACTAGTTACAACTTTAGTGTAACTATGGCTTTATTAGATCGTTGTTTGAAAAAAAAAATGCAGCCATCTACAGACCTGGCTCCTAGAAGTGCCTGTCCTCTCTAGGAGGTGGCAGCCTGTGGAGGAGACAGTTGATTAACTGGAAGAGAGGACGGGACTCAGACATTTCTAGTTGTTCTTTTAAAGGCTAAACTCGGTCTGACCTAAGGGAAGGGGGAGAGCAGTTTATGACTCTAGTGTTCTCATCCACAAAAGTCGCAGCTTTTATTCTAAGGGCTTTTCCTACACTGCTAACTTCAGTTTTCAGCTTCAGACACACAGGTCAGTGTCAACACAATGCTGAACCAGTCCTAACGACCATCTGTAAATACAGGTGATAGGAATGAGGAATGGAACTATTACTCTTTCATTATGTCTCCCAGTGAACTTCACTTCTCATAAAAAGACACTTTTGAAGTTACTTCACTCATTGGCAGGATGGAACAGCGCTGGAGTGGCCAGCATTAGGTCACGTCCCTAAAGTGGTCTTTAGGTCATGTCACTTCTAAAGTGGTCTCAGATCAGACTCAGCTGTAATTTAAAAATCTGGGTCTCGGTCCACATCCCAGATCAATTAAGTCACATTCTCTGGAGGTGGGACACAGCCATCAGTATTTTTAAAGGAGATAAACGTCTGGGGCTTCCTACAATATCGTTTAATGGCTAAGAGCAACGGCGGGGGAGTCAGACTCTAAACTCTGACCTTGGGCGTGTATACTCCTGCTCTCTGTAACTCGGTGGTGTGGTGTAGGAAATGGGTCCCCAAGGCACTTCAAAGTTAAATAAGACCATATACATTAATTACTGCACGGTGCCCCAACAGTAAGTGTCTAGCAATGGAAGCCGTCATTCATTCCCCAAATTTATAAGATGCTGTTTAAATTTCTACAGATTAAAAAAAAAAAAGTGAAGAATGCAGTGTAAACTGAATTGTGAACAAGCCCTAATTTCTATTTCCGTGGGTTTATGTGCTTACGACTTCTACTCATCTGAGCTTATTTATATGAATACACACAGGAATAGGCTACAAAGAGGTGCATCTGATTTTTAAGATTAACAACTAATTCAGGGCCATTAATCTCAGCACTTGGGAGGCAGAGGCAGGCGGATCTCTGTGAGTTCGAGGCCAGCCTGGGCTACAGAGTGAGATCCAGGAAAGGCGCAAAACTACACAGAGAAACCCTGTCTCGAAAAAAAGAAATAAAGAAAGAAAGAAAGAAAAGAAAAAAGAAAACAAAACGAGAATATACACTAAAGCCTAGAGCATTCTTTAGCTTTTCTTAATACAGGAATCCTCTCTATTCCCGATTTCACTTCTGGTGGTTTCCAGTCAACTGAAGCCTGAAAATATTAACTAGAATCCTCTAGAAGTCAATAATCTGTAAGCTTTAAACAACTTTCATTATAACATTTTACTATCGTTCAGTAAGACTCTTGCTTTAACCTCTGACAGCACCTAACTTAAAAGTTAAGCTTTATCATAGTTATTTATACATTTAAAATAACATACTGTACATGAGTTGGTTTCAGACATTTGGAGAATGCCTTAGAAGGTCTTCCCTGCGGACAAGAGGGGGACTACAGCATTAAAATGGGGGTGACTTTTGGAGGGTTGCCAGGGCTTCATCACTCTTATTTCTTTGTCTTAGTCTCTCATAGACAGATTTTTTTTCATAACATAATATTTTATTAGTTCTTTGAGAATTATGTACATGCATACAATGTATTTGCATCATATGCACCCCACTCCTAACTCCTGGCGGATGCGCGCCCACCCCCATCTCACAGATCACCGGAGTTCACACATCGGGAGAATGCACGTTCAAGGGGTGTACCGGTTTGCGGACTGCGCCGGGCGGGTCTGAGTAAACAGCGCCTTGGTCCTCCACGTTTTCCTCCCGTGCGCACAGGAGAGGCTCGGCGACTTCGGGCACGCTGGCTGTCCCCTGGTCTGAGGCGCGCTGGCAGAGTTTGGGGACGCCCCTCCCGTGCAGAAGGCCGACCCTGCTGAGCATCCGAGGGGCGTGGCGGCGGGCGTCCGGAAGCGGCGGGCAGGGGAGCTGGGCGACCTTTGGTGGTGGCAGCGCGCGGTGATGGCGCTCGACCGATAGGGGGCGCCCGCAGGGGCTTCGCCGTGGCGGGTCCGACCCGGCCCCGGGGCGGGGGGCGCCGGGTGGTGGCGGGAGCAAGGCGGGGCTTGTTTGGGCGGTGCCGTGTGCAGGGCGCTGCGTCAAATATTGATATATTGACATCATAAAATTTGTCCTATGAGAGCTTAAAGGCGTTACCCAAAGGCACAGATTAAACTGGTGTTGACCGTGGAAAGGTGAACAGAATTTTGTTTCTTCCTCAAAGTTTACTTTTTTTAAAAGGTTTATTTATTATTTCTTTTTAATTACGTGTATGGGACAAGTGAGAAGCCGGAAGTGGGTGTGGAATGCCCTGGAGCGTTGAAAGCCTGCTGGCCTGGGTGCTGGGCCCTGGGATCCTAATTCCTGTCCTCTGGAAGAGCAGCCAGTGCTCTTAGCCTCCCAGCATCCCTCCAGCTCCCAGAGGTTAGTTACCCTTGATTCATTCATGAAATGAATTAAACTCAGGACACTGAGAAAGTTCCCCGCAAGGCACTGCCAGGGAAGCGTCTTCACTGATGTATTTGTGGGGAAAAAAAAAGGTTTCCTTGCATAGGAGTCCCGGCAAGAACCCATGTATTGAGCAGTTTCTTCTAAATGAACAATGTATCAGTGAACACCAGCCAAGAAAAATGGATTAGCTTGAAGAAAAGCAAGAATAGGATTACAGAGCACTCCCTACCAAAATCGTCATTAAAAACAGGAGAGGAAATGTAAAACAGTTTCAGAAAAGCACTCATGAACTCACAGAGATCCATCTGCCTCTTGCCTCCAGAGTCCTGAGATTAAAGGCCTGTGCCACCATGCTCAGCTTAAAATTTGTTTTCAAAACAGCAACCTACCGCAGAACAGAGCAGGTGAGATTGTAGAGTGAAGAAAAAAAAAGAATTCAGTTGCTGGCGTGTGGCATAAATGCCCGGTCTTACTCAGTGACACAGTGGGAAGTAGAGGATGGAAAAGACCAGTGGCTACAACCATGACGGAAACTGTCACCGGGGGTCTAACGGAGGGGTCGGGATGAGCTCTCCTCATCCAGCCACGATGCCCCCACTGGTGGAAGAGTCGGGCACCAAGTGTGACACCCCAAGTGTGACACCCCAAGCGTGAGTCCCAAGGAAGCACACAGTGCCAAAAGGAGTTTGTCCTGACTGAAACAGTCCTCTCAGTCCGTTGAGTGTGGTGTGCGCGAAACAGGGCAGCCAGCAGAACTAGTTAAGATTCTACAGACCGTGTAATGAAACCCACAACGTGGGCTGTTTCACTCAGTGTTTCTAATGAAGGAATGAGGTTTCGAAGAAACAGTAAGTGCTAGCAATGGTCCCCAAGGTGTGGACCCATCTGTGACCTAATTGGAACAATTAAAGGATAAAAAATACTCTTTGTTTAAGACCAATTTTTTTTTAATGTACAGTCTAGCCTAGCCTAGAACTGCCTAGGTAGCCCAGGTTAGCCCTGAACTTGCAATCTGTCTGTCTCTGCCTCCTGAGTGCTGCTGTTACAGGCATGCACTGTCTTGTATGACTTTTTAAAATAAATGCATTTGTGAGACAATTAGGAAGCTTACTATTTATTGTTGATATTATATAGCATTAGAAAAGTTACTGAATTTTGATTGGTGTAACAACGGCATGGTTATTGTTAAGTTTTAGATCCTTAGCAATTATAGGTATTTATGGGTGAAATGCCATGGAATCCATAATTTTCTTTAAAACAAATTTGTCCTGCAGGATGCCCCCCAAAATTGGGGGGGGCAGTGAAGAAAATGCCTAAATTAAGCAGAATTTCAAGTAGGGCACTGGTGGTGCACGCCTTTATCCCAGATCTCCGGAGACAGAGGCCGGGAGATCTCTGGGTGAGAGGCCAGCCTGCTCTACAGAGTGAGTTCCAGGACAGGCTCTGTCAGAGAAACCCTGTCTCTAAAAAACAAAACAAAACAAAGCAGAAACCACATGATTCCCAAAACTGATCATAATTGTTGAAACTAGATGATGGATACATGAGAATTTATTATATCACTCTTTATTTTGAGTATGTATACTTGAAGATTTCTAAAATAAAAAACCATGTGCCCTGAAAAAGTGTGCCCAACTTTTCAAAGTGACACTAATGATGTCAACTCTGTATGTAAAAAAACAAAAACAGGCTGGAGAGATGGCTCAGAGGTTAAGAGCACCGACTGCTCTTCCAGAGGTCCTGAGTTCAATTCCCAGCAACCACATGGTGGCTCACAACCATCTGTAATGAGATCTGGTGCCCTCTTCTGTATACATAATAAATAAATAAATCTTTAAAAAAAAAAAAAAAACAATAAAACAAGAAAAGCAAACAAACAAACAAACAGACCCTTTTTAACAAAATACTAGAAATAAGTATTTTTCTATGATACCAAGCTGCCTGGCAAGACATCCCCCCAGTGCAACAGTGGACTGATAGTTATGGGGGCGCCAACTGCTCTCTGCTGAGACATGAGGCCTGTTCTACAGGAATTATTTCATGCTTGGCACTATAAACATGCTCAAAAACCCATGGCTGAGGGGACCACAGGCACACGGGGGAACCTGCTGCTGTTTTGTTAAATGGTCGTACTCTCACACTGCATTCTAAATCTTTATGTTTACACCTATATATTTGTGTTGCTTTCACTTCCGGTCATGGAAGCTTCGTTTTGCAGAAACAGAGGCAAAACAGAGTCAAAACTGGTCAAAGTGTCAAAACCCTGAGCACAAAACATGTAAGAGCAGATGGGGAAGAGAGCTGGGACATGCTGGCTTCTGGACATCAGAGTCTAGTTCACACAGCAACTGAGCAGCTGTGGTGACCCGCACAGACCAGCACAATATCAAGCCAGTCAAAGACCAGCACAATATCAAGCCAGTCAAAGACCAGCACAATATCAAGCCAGTCAAAGACCAGCACAATATCAAGCCAGTCAAAGCTCCACGGTGGAGCAGGGAGGAGCCCCAAGACTCTACCCCTGTTAGAGGAGGTATGCCGTTGATGGCTGCTGAGGTGGGGAGAGCCACTCCATTTGGGAACAGGAAGTTGGTAGACTGCTTGTGCCCCAGAAGATGGCCATGAGCACATGGGCAGTACTAATGGGACTCTGGATTGCTGATGACATTTTTTTAAAAAAAAATATGGCACGAAGTTAGGAAAGAGATGAGGTAAGGAACATAAGTCCCTAGCCTAAACTCACGGGGCTCCTGCACCTCATGGAGAGAGATAGTGTGTGTGTGTGTGTGTGTGGTGGGGGTAACATGGTCATTACATTCCATATAACTGTGTGAATCTTTCAAAAATTAATTTCAAAAACAAGAAACTTGTGGCTAGTGATGCATTTTTTAAAGCAGAAAGAGAAAAAATATCTCCAATTGTGTCACTTATTTTAATGTGACATCTTCATCCCACATGGACAGCTAAATAGACACAATTATGAATACACATTTGCCTATTTTGTTGTCTCTCTAAAAGCTTATATATTTAAGTAGGCAACAAAATTTAATTCAAGAATATATTGCTGAGCACACGTTGGTGGCAACATATGCAGAGAAAACAGTTGTATTAAAATACAGACTCTCTGCAGGCCCTCATTTGAGTCATAATTCAAATAGGTCAACTGCAGTATCCACAGCACACCTGGAAAGCCAGCACAGGAGAGGCTGGTGCAAGAGAAGCTTCAATTTGAGGTTAGTCTGGTTTTTGTAGTGAGACTTTATCTAAAACAAACAAACAAACAAAAACAACAACAACAAAAACCCCATCAAACAAAATAAATAAGCCAAACAAACAAACAAACAAAAAAAACCCACAAACTCTAAATAGTAAAAGTCTCCATAAGGATTGGCCAGTCCACCCACCTCATTCCTTAGACAGAAAATGTGCTCAGAAAACCAAGAGTCAATTTCTACTTCCTGCCTCCTGGGTCAGTGCTCGTCCTATCCATATTCTGCTTTCTCCTCTTGGAACTGAATGCTCGATTGCGGTGGGGCCAGGACTCGAGAACAGCCGTGTTAAAATGGCCACATTTCTTTGGGGACTGTCGGCAGCAGTAAGTTTGCTGCCTTAATCTTAAATGCCCTCCTTTGTCCTGTCCCAGTTAAGTTGTTTGTGTGAAAAATGTGCAGTTGGGTTCCAGAGGGTGCTGGGGATCAGTTCCCCTGTGGTTTTTCCTGTTTGGGAAACAGTGTCTGGCTTGCCTCCGGATACAGAGTAACCATTCCTTGACCCCTGCTGTTAGAGGGGTATATAAACCCTTGTTGGTAGGAATAAAGAGAGCTGCTTCCCTGATGAACTGAAACTGGGTGTCTAGAGTGCTGTTTAACCTTGGCGTCCCTCACCAGATTTCCTGCTCCCGCTGCCCGGGCCACAGTAAGTGGAGGTCTCACCGAGACCTGGAAAGAGGGGTAAGCGAACGAGGATCACCCTAAAAGGAGGGGTGGAGGATTGAAACATTGGTACGTACCATGGGTAATTCTACTGCAAAAGCTCAGTTGGCCACTGAGGAACAGGAATTAAGTCAAGTAAGCAAGGAACAGGAATTAAGTTAAGTAAGCAAGGAACAGGAATTAAGTCTAGCACCGCACTCACATTTGTGGACACCATAGCTGAAGCAAGTCCTTGGTTTCTGATGGGAGGAGATCTGAATATTCCAGATTGGGAACAAGTAAAAAGAGATTTACAAAAGATGTTGCAAGAGAAAGGTGCAGATAAATTTCCTATAGCTGCATTTTCTCTATGGAGACTTGAGAAAGATGCTCTTCTGACTGATAAAGTGAAAGAGCAACTTTCAGAGTGCGAGCAAGCATTTGCTAATGCTCAGGAGGCGGAGATGAATGAATCTTTGAAAGGGGAAAAGGAAGAGGTCAAGGTCCCCTGTAAAGAGCGTATAAGGATATTTGTGAAAGATTAAATAGATGAGGAAGAAGATGATGATCTTGCCTCTGTCTCAGATTTAGTAGAGGAGGAAGAGCAGCTAGAAAAAGAGATAGAGGAACTACAACAGAAATTGCGCCGGGCAAAAGTATATTGGCAAAAAAAATAAAGGGGGGTGGTGGTATGGCATGAAACATATCCAGTCATTGAAACTCAGAATCAAG